CGCGGACCACAGAGAGGCCGACACGTGGCACAAAGCGGCTGGGGATACGTCACCTTATGCACGCGACGCGCACTCCATTTGCACGAGGCGCAGGTCCGGTTTTGGTCATATAAATAGCCATTGAGCCTCCATTCTTTCCCCACACCTTCCAGATCGATTCTCTCAAGTTTTACTCAATTTTAGCCTATTTTCTTGAGTTTTTGGCCTACGGCGAAGCCCTGCAACACCCCTGAGTGCTCAACTAGTTCTAACCTTCGAGTAGGAGATCCCGAGTCAGTATTCTTCCCACTTAGTTACCGATTTTCATCAAGAACATCTACAAGTTAAGCTACACTTAGTTTATGTTAAGTGTAACTTTTAATTTATAGTCACAGTCTTTATTATGAACCTATAATTAAGAACTATCAGTAATTCCAAGTTGTAATACTGATTGATCTACTTATGGGAGAGGTGACTAGAATGGTCATGTTAGCTTGGTTGTTGGATTTCAGAAAGGCTATACACCGACATGGTCCTGCCTCCCAACTGTCCGGCCTGGCTGATCCTTACTTGATAGATCTATCAATATTTATTGGGATTAGTGATAGGTCTAACTCCAAATTCAGTTTATTGATTTGCTTGAGAAAAATTAGAAGGCGGTTTCTGTGGGGACGTATCGATGACAAAAGTAAAATTAATTGGGTAGGCTGGATAGTTGTGTTAGGCCCCACAGATAAAGGCGGGCTTGGAGTTGGCTCCCTCTCGTCTCTTAACCTGGCTCTCTTGGTTAAATGGTTATGGAGATTCAAAATGGAGTATTCTAATGTTTGGTGTAAGGTTGTGAGCGGGATCCATAACTGTTACAGAAAACCACTTCACTCCCTTGGTAAAAAAATCTTTGTCTGGTACATGGTTTAAAATTATCAATGTGGTTTGTGAATTACAAGATATGGGAATTGAGTGCTCTTCTTTATTTGATATCAAAGTTAATTCGGGTTCTAATACGTTATTCTGGTTAGAGAACTGGAGTGGTGAAGGAGTTTTTGCCTTTCGTTTCCCTAATATCTTCGAGCTCGATAAAAGGGAGTCTTGTTTCATTAACGAAAGGGTGGGGCCTAATAAGTTGTCTTGGGATTGGAAGGAATCCCCCATCAACCTTTAAGAGAAACTAGAACTTGATTGTCTTCTTGTGATAATTTCTCAATTTCTGATTTCTACTGGTCATGACAAGTGGTTTTCTAAACTCTCTTCTAATGGGATTTTTTATGTTAGCGACCTCAGGGCTCTCATTGACTCGGTATTAACTGTTCTTATTTCAAATCCTACTATTTGGTGTCATTTAACTCCTCTGAAAGTGATTGGATTCGTGTGGCGTGCTTGTATGGACCGGAATCCGACTGCTATGACTCTTTCGCATTGTGGCATTGCTCAATCTTCTTCGCTTTGTCATTTATGTTCTAATGGTTTGGATGAGACTGACCACTTCCTAGCAAGGTGCCCTTTTTCTAAGGAAGCGTGGAGTGGGTGTTAAAATGGTGCGATATTCCACTTATTCATTTTTCGTCGGTAGTCGGTTTCGTGAAGTTCGTTGGGAACTGGGGAAATTGCCCCAAAAAAGGGAAATTTTACCGGCTATTTTTTACGGGTTTTTGTGGTGTGTTTGGAAAGCGAGAAACGACAAACTATTCAACAAAATTCATGTTTCGGCGATAAAAACAATGGATAATGTCATTACTTTAGTGCATAGTTGGGTTAAAAATAGAGAATTTTGATGATCGTAAGTGGACAGATTGGTATTGTTCGTCTTTCAACATTTTGTAATTGGTTGTATTATTTTTGTTTTCTTTTTGTCATGCCTTGTTCTTTATATGTAGTGGTCTTATAAAATTCCGTCGGTTCCAAAAAAAGATAAAAATATATTTAATTTTTTTCTAAGGTTTGCCCATTATAATTTAAAGAAATAAAAATGGGATATATACACTAGAATCCCAATATTTTCATCTATTTAACAAGAAAGTCCTAAACTTTATTTTTTTGACAGTAAAGTCCAAACTACCGGCAATTTTTGACACTTTTACCATTTTTTCCCGGTTAGTCGGTAATTAGGACTTTTTTGTCAAAAAAATAAAGTTTATGACTTTCTTGTCAAATCGTCAATTAGGACTTTACTGTCAAAAAAATAAACTTTAGGTCTTTTTTGTCAAATCGTTGAAAATATTGAGACTTTAGTGTATATGTCATTTTTTGTTAGAAATTTAATGATATGATACTCTTTAAGCATAAGAGTTATTGAAACATTCTCTAGTCAGCTAGATCCTCTTGAAATCCTTAATGTTTGCTTCTTGTTAAATCGTTTTTTAATCTCAACAAACCGACATTGAAAAAAATGGAGATAATCAAGAAAGAAAGAAAGAATCAGGGTTGTGTTGACTTTTTGCAGTCCCAAAAATGAAGAAATAAGAAACCGAAAAAAAACAAAATTGCCATTTTTTCCCTTCTCCACATTCACACCCTTTTTACTAGGTATGTGTTGTTTGTGTTTGTATAATCTGTCCCCACTTTTTAGTTCAATATTTGTCGGCGAAGTAAGAAGAAAGTTTTACAAGTCTTTTCACCCTTGTAAAAGTTTCTTCTTACTTCGCCGCCAAATCTTGAACTAAAAAGTGGGGACAGCTTATACAAACACAAACAACACATGCCTAGTCAAAAGGGTGTGAATGTTGAGAAGGGAAAGAAGGGCAATTTCGTTTTTTTTCGGTTTCTTATTTCTCCATTTTTGGGACTGCAAAAAGCCAACACAACCCTGGTTATTTCTTTCTTTCTTGATTATCTCCATTTTTTTCAATGTCGGTTTGTTGAGATTAAAAAACGATTTAAAAAGAAGCAAATATTAAGGATTTCAATAGGATGTAGCTGACTAGAAAATGTTTCAATAACTCTTACGCTTAAAGAGTATCATACCATTAAATTTCTAACAAAAAAAATGATATATACACTAAAGTCCCAATATTTTCAACGATTTGACAAGAAAGTGTTAAACTTTATTTTTTTGACAGTAAAGTCCTAATTGACGATTTGACAAAAAGTCATAAACTTTATTTTTTTGACAAAAAAATCCTAATTACCGGCTAACGGGAAAAAAAAGGAAAAAAAATGGTAAAAGTGTCAAAAATTGCCGGTAATTTAGACTTTACTGTCAAAAAAATAAAGTTTAGAACTTTTGTTGTCAAATCGATGAAAATATTGGGTCTTTAATGTATATATCCCAATAAAAATTGAATCACAAATAAAGGTCAAATACAATGTTAGTAAAATGTCAAAATTGCTCGTCTTGCAAGAAACACATCTCAAAAGTCAATGGGCCGGTTTCAATTAGAAATAGGCTCCATCTCCAATAAAGCGAAAGGTGTTTTACACGTAGGCGTAGCCGTAAAGATTCAACTTTGACTCCATGGTCAAACATGGTAATTATCATCATCAAAATTACATAACATTCTTATAATTATCAAATAAACTCAACAAATGAATATTACTTTAACTTTGTCACAATATCCTAATCATTAATCATACGATAAATGCCAAACTTTGACCTCAAAAATCGAAGTCTATGTTTTTGATGGATCTATTAATGTTTTAACAAATCCACCATGTTGATCAAGTACATAACATCTAAAGAATCCAAAGAAACCATCTTTTTAATCATCAATCACTATGAAACCCCAACAATATAAGCATTCCATGAATCTTTTTGTTGAAAATTTGTAACTTCTTCATATTTGACATCTTTACCCCCACCAAATCCTTCAATACTTTTGATGTTCTCACTATCTGGCATTTGACGTATCCAGAAATGAATAGACCTAAATCCGGCTTCTTCCATACAATCTTTAATCTCCGGTAATGACCACCTGATAAATATGTCTGACTATTAGTCAAATGTCTAAAATACCCTCATCAATGATCAAAAGTCATCAACCTTTTGTGACGAAATCTTGTAACAAAACCTTTGCTTGAAAGGAAATCTTGTTTTTTTTTTTCTTGGCAAAGTTTTATATATGAGAAAATCACAAAAATAACATAAAGAATGAGCATTTAACAAAATGCCTTTTTGGTGTTTTACACAAATGCCCACATGTGAAATCACTTTTACACAAATCAGCAAAATGACTATTTTGACTTTTTGTGGTGGGGACCATTAAAAAAGCCATTTTGCGTGATTTCACAGTGGGCCCATGTGGTGAGAATGCAAAAGGTCAAAAATATGGTCATTTTGTTAAAAAAACGCCATACACGATGGTCATTTTAGTGATTTTCTACAAATAAATTGTAGCATTTTTATAAATTGCATAAAGTAACGATCTTTACAATCTCCAGCTATACGAAAAAGCATGACGAAGCTTCTTCTTTTGATGCTTTTGCAGAGTAAAATGGAGACTTATCCGTGTTTTCCTTTGAATAATGTCAAACCCAGCTTGCTCCCAAGTATACTGAAAACATATTGATGTTAAAACAATGCAAAATAACCAAAAAACGACATGAAAGTAAGATGAAATTATCAAGAATTATAGTTTTGGTACAAAAGAACATGTAACAGCCGAAAAATATCAAATAGTTGATGACGACTTTCATTTATAAGATGAAATATATGTAATTAATTAAAGAAATTACCGTAAAATTTGGGAATTTTCTTTGCATCCTAAGTTCACATTCGGATGATGTGCCTCCATAAAGATCCATCACAAAAATTCCACCTTTTTTAGATAAACAACTAAGCGCATTTTTTGAAATATGAAACCAATTCTTGACGACTATGGAGGCAGCAACAACTGTAGTTGAAAGCACATACAATGTCGCGAGGTGGAAGTTTTTCAGAATTAGCAACAGATTCAATCCCATTTTCATCATCTTCAAGTGTTACATTATTCATGGTGTTTTGAAAACTGGATTTTACTAGTAAAGCTTCTTGAGGTTGCAACACATTCCCATGGAAAAGAACGATTCTTGAAGATAAATCGGCTCCGACTTTGTTCACATTGTTCTCCATGCACCAATCAAGAGCCTCCACGTCCAAATCCAAACCTACGGCTGTTCTTCTTGAATCACTCCGAAGCCATTCTGTACTGTAGTTCAATTGATCGAAAAATTAGGGTTTCTTCATGTAATTAACAAGAAATGCAATCAAACTTGAACCATAGATTCATTCATTCACAGATTCATCGAAGTACCTGAGAAGAGCAGTGCCGCAGAAGTCTTCTTGAAGATGGAGGGGTGCCCTGCCACCAACGTAAGTCAAGAAGAACTTCTGTAGATAACTAATGTCTCCTTTAGGCGACTGTAACAAAAATTGAAGAACACCCAATAAATCCCCACATTAAAATCAAGTAGAATGCTGATGAAATTGAGGGTTTAGTTAGGTTATTTGTACCTGTACTGATTGTTGATATAGTGAGAACTTTGAAGGGAGGCTATTGTCGTCATCTGGTGATGGGTTTTGGTCGTTTTTGTCGTCTGATTCTGATTCTTCGTCGGAGAGAGTGAGATTAGGATCGGATTGAGAAGAAGGGGCTGGATTATTTGAGGGGTAAGTTTGTTGTTCGTGGTCTTCGAGGTAGTAAGATGCGGACCTCTGATTACGTTGGTTTTTTTGCTTCTTCCCGTTCTTCCCCATTTTCGGGTTTCTTCTTGCAGTGGATTTCAGTAGGCGGCTGTGAAATTGGATTACGATTACTGTTCTTTTGTTTTTGTACTTTTTAATTTTCCCCCTTTACTTTGTGGTATTTTCGGTTGTTACCCTATGAAATAGAGTTACATCATTGTAACATACTTTTTAGTTTTTAGGGTTAACTTAACAAGTTTCTCTTTAGGAATGAAAGCTAACTCAGTAAAGGCTCAAGGAAGCGAAGAGGGGCTGATGTGGCGACTAAGTGGTCCCGAATTGTAGTGGGTATAACCGGTTGTGTTGTATCTTGTATCAGCGATAACACAATTCCATAGCTTTGATAGCTAAACTGGCGGGATGCACGACATCCGTCCACCCTTAGGGTTAACTTCAAAAGTTACCTAAAGGTTTTTCAGTTTAAATCACAAGTTTTTTTTTTCAAACTAAAACCTACAAGTTTTTCAATTTTTTTCACATTTCTCTGTTAACCAGTTTATGGGTTAACTTCGGTGTAAATAAGGAAAATAAAAAAGCTGAGAAAATTGTAGGTTTTCTTGTAAACATACAGTTTTAATTTAAACTGAAAAATCATTAAACATACAAGTCTTCTAAACATCTCAGGAGTGTGTGGGACTAAAATACATCGAATCAGTCCCAGTTGACTTGGTCTAACATCTTTGATCCTGACACCAAGCGCTACCTGAAAGTTTATGGAACGATAATCACCAATATTCTCCACAAGAGCATTCACCATCTTTAAAATGATGAAACCGAATCGAATCCCTAACAATAATCTCCCTCTCTTCAATCTTCGATATAAACTTTAAAACAGTATGACAATCACCACAAACTCTCAAATTCTTCATAATTTGCAACAAAACACCACGACCCGTTGCAATCAACCCAAACCCAACAGCCAATCTCTCACTATGCCCATTCAAAATCTCCTCTTTTCCCTCATCTTCAACATCATGAAGCACATAACTCATATCCGCTACATACCCTTCATCCCTCATCTTCAACCCTAATTCCCTCAATTTCCCATATATCAAATCCGATAAAGGATGCGACACATCACCAGCCACAAACCAATACGTCTTGTTCTTAATCTCAATCCAACTGGATCCCGCTTCCTTCTTCACATTCCTCTCATCCATCAACTTCCTAACCTTCTCTCTCTCCTTCCAATCGCCACTTGTCGCATATAGATTGGATAACAACACGTAAGAAGCCGAATCTTGTGGCGATAATTCCATCAACTTATCTCCTGCAATTTTCCCCAATTCCAAATCCTTAAAAACGCGACACGATGCAAGAATCGAACGCCAAATCGTTGCTCCTGCAACAATCGGCATATTATCTATAAAATTCATGGCTTTTTTTATAAAACCAGCTCGACTGTATAAATCAACCATACATGAATAATGCTCCGATGTTGCCTCAATTCCATGGTCAACCATCAAGTCAAAGTATTTTTCACCTTCGTTAACTAATCCTGCGTGTGTACATGCGGAAATTACACCGATAAATGTTATATCATCCATTTTTATGTTTTCTTTTCGCATTTCTTCAAATATTTCTAACGCTTTTTTTCCATATCCATGTTGTGCGTACCCTGAAATCATCGAATTCCATGACACTAAATCCTTTTCCGATTGTTTTTCAAAAACTTTGTTTGCACTTTCGATGTTTCCTTTTTTTGCATACATTGTAACAAGAGCACTACTTACACATAACGCGATTTCATATCCTGATTTCAATACTCTCCCATGAAACTGTTTCCCATGTTCAATTGCTGCATTTGGAGTTGCACATGCGTTGAGGATACTGGAAAATGTGAATTCATTTGGTGTGATTTTGTTGTTTTGTAACTCAAGAAACACTCGTATAGCTTCATCAATGTCTCCTGATTGTGCATATCCTGATAAAATAGCTGACCATGTGACTATATCTTTTTCTTGAATTTGATGAAAAACTTTGATCGCGTCACTCATGTTTCCTAGCTTTGTATAAGCATCTAAAAGAGCTGTTCCAACTGAAGTTGATGATTCATAATTTGTTTTTATAACTTCTGCATGAATTTGAGAAGGAGAAATTATCTGGTGAGAAGTAAGGATAGTGGAATAGGTGAATTCATTAGGCCAAACATTTTGCTTTCTCATTTGTTGAAAGATATTCACTGCTTTTATCATGTCCCCGTTTTTTATGTATCCACCAATCATAGCTGTCCATGTCACCACATTCTTGATTCCACTCATTGAGTTGAATAGTTTCAATGTGTCATCCATTTCGAAGCTTTTTGTGTAGGAAACCATGAGTGCAGTTCTAAGATTAGGATCTGATTCCATTCCGTTTTTCCAAAGAATGGAATGAAGTTGTTTAGATAAACGTATTTCTTTGATGTTAGCACATACTTTTAGTATTGTAACAAAGATGGGTTGTGTCAGTTTTACCCCTGAAAGTCTCATTTTAAGGAAGAGATCAAGGGCAGGTAAATCTTGCAAGTTTTTAACAAGACCTGCTATCATTCCATTCCATGAAACTGCATCTCTAACCTCCATATAATCAAATACTGATCTTGCACTTTTGATCATTCCTGATTTTGAATACATACTAATCAAAGAATTACACACATATGTAGTTAGCTCAAAGCCAAATTTGACAACCATGGTATGAACTTGCATCCCTTTCACAACTGCACCATTGTCAGCTAAAGCTCCAAGAACAGTAGCAAATGTGAATGGGTTAGGCTTGATTCCTTCAATTTGCATTTGTAGAAAAAGGTCTATAGCTTGATCATGAAGCCCCTTTAGTGAATACCCGGTAAGCATTGAAGTCCAAGACACCACATTTCGGTCAGGCATTTCATCGAATACCTTCTCAGCCATTGAAATCGATTCAGTTTTTGTGTACATATCAATGAGGGAAGTGCCAACGCTAACATCCTCAACAAACCCGTGTTTAATACAATCACAATGTATTTGCTTGCCTATTATTTGATCGCAGAAGCTTCCGCATATTTTAAGAACACAAGAAAAGCTTGCCCCGTTAACTGGTAAACCCAAACGACGAATTCCTAAAAAGTGTTTTAGAGCTTGAGCGTTGTTATTGGTTCGAGCATATTCGAAAAGCAGGTGGTTGTGATTAGAAGCATCAATATCTCTCTGGGGCATTCCGTCGAGCGGGTCGAGTGCATCACGGAAGACACCATGTTCGAAGAAATCATTATGAGCTTTGGGCTCAGTTGTAGAAGCAAAGCACTGTAGCGAACAGGATTGATTGTTATAAGATGTTTGAAGCTTTCTAAAAGATTTGAGCTTTTGTAAATTCATAGTCTTGATTGAACTCAGGCAGCATCGAAGTTGGCTTGAAATTTTTATAACATATCAAAGCGTTGACTCGCACTAACCATGTTTTTGTTTTAATAACTTAAATAAACATCCCATTTGGCTTCTAATTTGTAGTTTCGTACTAAATTCATTAAACAAGAACCTAATAATTTAACAAATCTTGCCAAAAATAAACAAAACCTAATAATTTAAGAAATCTTTCCAAAAATAACCAAATGACACACTTTTTGTACTGCAGACTCGTCTTTCATATTACAGATTCATACCAACGGTCAAATAATAAGGTGTTTTCCGTAATTTTGCTTGAGTTCGCAGTAAGAACGGATGATACATTCTACAAACTTGTCAAACTTATTAGTATAGATATCAATAATTTGTTTTTTTTTCTATACTTTTGTAGAATTTTATTTGAATTTTATTTTGTATTTTATTTATTTATCGATATGATAGATAAAACTATAAAAGTAGGATATCGATATATCTCTTGATTTGTTAACTTTAGAAAGTTTGTCGAAAACTAATCTTTTATGTGAAAGTTATCAAACAAGAGATAAATATTCATTGTACGATTTCATCTTCTGTAAAATAAATTATGTAATAAAAGCAATGCTTACATCTTGCGCGCGCACACACACACCACACACACACACACACACATATATATATATATATATATATATATATATATATATATATATATATATATATAGAGAGAGAGAGAGAGAGAGAGATATGTTCATTTATAAATCTTAATTATTGTGTGAATGCTTGAACCAATAAGAATTTAGAAATAAAATAAATGATTAATTAAACAAATACAGGTATAATGGACACTTTCCTTTTATCTACCCAAATAAAAATAGTAATATATATGGAAACAATTTAACAGCCGCTTCAAGTGCTAATATGTTTTTCAATCATTATTTTACATTTTTAGTGTAACTGATGCCAAATATCGGACAATATTCCTGCAAGTTGTAAATAATTTAACTTTCATAAGAAAATAATACTAATTGTTAATTATTTCAGAATATTTATACTAGGAAATGCCATATTACTTAATTCTTTAAGATTTAAGTAATATTATTAATCATTACAACCTCATATACCTCACGTCAACATTCTTTAGGAATTTTAAACTATAAACATCTCTTTCTTAAAGAATGTGTATTACAGAATTCCAAAGTTGATTATCATGTCTGCATTCTAACCTCACTACCAATAAATAGAAATTTTTGTAATAATTATTTACAAATCAGTTTCGAAAGAAAAATTAACAATGTATAATGTTTTATCTCCTCCTCCGCAAACTCTCTTTCAACCGTTTCCAACTAACTCCCTATCCGTGTGTCACTACTTTCATCTTCATGCTCATCATCTTCCCTTCTTATAAACTGCTCCATCCCAAGAGCATTTGCATTCACCTCAAAGTCCTCAACCTGTTTCAACTTATCTCGACTAACATGTGTTATAAAATGAGTCTTTTTTTGTCAATTTAATGCTTTTATTGATGCGGATATTAAACACAAAAACCAACTGCATACAAATTTGTAATTTGATAGCAAAATTTAATATACAACATAAACTAATAGTCAATTGTATTTAAAACAATTATAATGAAATTCATACCAACAATTCAGTAATAGGCCCCGAGTAATAACAAAACTGGTCCTCCTGATTCCACAATTGCTTCCTTGTCATCAAGCTTTCAACAATGTACTGACACAAATAGATACTTAAATAGTCTTCTAACAGAGTTAACCTTTCAACAACTTCTATTTGACATGTCCTCATTTGCTTTGAATCAATAAAAGTGTTGATAAACATTATTATATAACTAAGTCTAAATAGAAGGTCATCAACTTTCGACTCCTTTATTTTTCTTAATATGTTGTACTTGAATACTTTTTTTTGGGATATTGACCTCTCCATAGATATACTCATAACCTCATGTATCCTTTCATTAATTATGGTCCATTGACAAATAGACTGGTGTGTTGCTACATCACAGTTCATTTTCGATCTACTTTCACCAACATTTCCACCATCATTTTTTCTTTTTTACCTTTTTACCCTTTTTGTTGATTCTACATTGTGTTTCTTCCTTCTTTGTTTCTAATTTACATTCCTCCTTCAATCATAGCTCCATCCTGTTCTACAACGATTTCTACCTTGGGTAATTCTTCATCGGCTTCCGGTTCTTCTTGGAGAGGTTGTGCTACCACAACACCGTCTGTCAATGAAAACAAGTTAAAAATTGAATATTAACTTACTTGAACCATATGAATTCTTTTAGAATTTTATAAACTAAACCATTATACGACCATACTTTATTTATTTTATTCTACAAGAATACCAAAGTAAATAATCCGTGCACATCAAAAAACCAATGTACCGACCCATCAATCAATACACAACATAAAACATGCTTTTACACAAATAATACGTGTATATTCATTCAGAATTTATTATGCTATCAGAAATTATGATGTTATACCTTATGTCGTAAACAGTGAAAACACCTCCAAGAATCATAACTACACTCAAACCCTAACTTCTTAAAAATAAAATACACTCTATATTTTCAACGATTACATGTGCATTCTGACAGAATGTCTGATGATTATAATTATTCTTGCTGAATACATTGATGCTTATACTTATTCTTACATAATACATCACAAACAATACAAAAACCTAGAAGAATCATAACTACACTCCAACCCTAACTTGTTATTAACTGAAATTCAATCTACGTTCTCAAGGATTACATGTGACTTCTCACAAAATATGTGCTGCTTATCTGAATTCTTGAAGAACAAATCATAAACAATAAAACAATACCTGGTATCAATGGATTAACAAAATCCTCGTCTTCGTCATCGAGCCTCAGTGGCGAAGATGTTGTGTTTTGTGAAATTTGTTTTTATGTTCTTTCCTAATCTTGAGCTTGATCGCCTTCTCATTCTTCGAATTTTGAGTTCCTAGCCGATTCCTTTCTTTGATTGTAAACCCTCTGTCGATGGTTCTTATACGTCTACAGTCAGTAGTTGGAATAATAAATCTTTTAAAAAGGATAATTGATTTGGTTTGAGAGAAATCATATAATCATATGATAATATCATCAATCTTTCCCTCCTAAAAACATGGAATGTTATTAACCGGTGACACAAAAGAATCCGGTTCTACGCTTGTAATATGTCGACTTCCATTTTTAAAATAGTAATAACGCTTTTATCACCAATTTAATTAAAACAAAATATCATTAATTAATTAAATCAGGATCCATTCTTAACCACAACATTTTCCAAATCCACATTGAGTCATACACTCACACAATAATCATCATTCACATTTAATGCTGACTATATATACATATATATATATATATATATATATATATATATATATATATATATATATATATATATATATATATATATAGGAGTAGGATCAAATGAGAACACCAAAAAGATTGAGAACGCGAGAACAGATCTGAGCTCTTCAGATATTATGATCTAAGGCTAATATAATTTATAAAAGTCATGAGATGAAATTGTAACTTTCTAAAAGTCATGGGATGAGATTGTAACTTTCTAAAAGTCTAAAGGGTAATAAGGTCATTACTTGTTCACCTATTTTTGTCAAGTTGCTGGAATCTCTCTATCCCCCTCTCTCTCTATCTCTCACTCACGTATCCTTCTTCCTCTCACTCTCTAAATACAAATTTCAAACCTTTAAACCCTAATTGAGCCGTCACCACCATACACTTCCAAAACCATCATCACAACCTTCATCTTGAGATTCCAGACTTGCAAATTGATTTTAATCAGATAGGATTGTTCCCGATTTTTCTTAAATGTGCTACTGTGAAGGTCTTGATGAATGGAGAAGATCAAGATGCTCGAGGTGTTGAATCGATTTTCAGGGCATCACTTGTTCAAAATTATCAATCACCTTGATTCCTGCAGCCTCTTTGTGCGGCTGCTGTTACAAGCGACCAATCAAGGTTTGAAAGGCCCACTTGCGATCAACGTAGGGTTATCGATTTCTGCAATTATATTCAGATCGTTTGTATCTAGGGTTAGTATCGCAAGTTGTGATTCCACACCTGATTAATTCCCATCATTATAAGAGACGATAGGAACTTGGGTTTAGAGAGAATTGGGGAAATGGGTTGAATTCATGCCTGGAAGGATTCCGATGTAAAGTTTTCCTTGAATGTTGAGCGGATTAATGAAGGCTTCTTGAAGGATATCTTGAAACTTTTTATTTGATGCATGTTGTAGATTTCAGGGAGAGAATTGAATCATTGAATCATTGAAGAAGAAGAAGAAGAGGCAGGTGAATCAAAGGAATATATGTGCACTATTCTTGCCACAACACATGTTCGACCAAATGCTTCAATGACTATGTTTGAATAAGTGTGATTAGTTTATCCCTCATAAATTGATCATGATTTTTGTTTTGTAATTTTTAATTATGTCGCTCATTTGTTTCAGGGAAAGTTCATCGTCCCAATTTGATTGAACCAAGAGGTTATAATAGCTCATTAGATTCAACTCCATGCTCCTTAATCGTTACAAGCTTCTGAATCTTGTTATTGTTAAAGATTCAAATGAAAAGGATCCAAATCAAGATATTAAAAAGGTAGACTTTATATTTTTTTTTCAATCCCATTTAATTATGAATATGTTAAAATTCACTAATGATTATGAAATGAAGATAAAAACTAATAGATTTTATTTCATCAGTATTAATTATTTATGATTTTCAGCTCTATTCAATTTATTCATCAGTGTTAATACATGATTATATTTATCATCATACATGATTTTAGTTATCATCATACATGAATAAATCTTTATTCATTATAAGATTTATGGTAAAAACTAAAAAAGTTTTTTTCCTTTCTCTGCCATCAAAAGACAAACATACATTCATTTGTGAATGTGAAGATGTATACACAACGCTATTATCTG